AGAGAGAGAGAGAGAGAATCTTTTTTATTGATATTTATTACAAATTTTATTGATATTTATTACAAATTTATTACATGAAGATTACATCCGCTTGTTTATAAGAATCTCTATCGTTTTATATACTGATTTCATAGATTGGAATTATTTTTGTTTTGATTATTTGCATACAATAATCTATTTTAAAATGCATTTAAAAAAATTATTTTAAAAATATGTATTCGTGAAAGTGTATCATACAGATATAGATATTTAGCTATTATAAAATAAGTATTAATTATTGATTGGAATAATATAAATTACATTAATTTTTGCAACAACATTAAATATTAAATAATCACCATGAAATATGTGTAAAGTTTACAATAATTATCTTTTGTAACTTGTATATTATGTAGTAATATAATATTTGCGAATAATGCCGAATATTTTATTTAGATTTTAAATATATTATATAATATTTTATATATTCTTACTCTTATTTATGTGTTCTATAAAATTATATGTGCACATAAAATGAAATTCTCGAAAACAATTATTTAGTGTTGATAGACGGATAGCTGAATTCTTTCTGATGACGCAATTACCATTGAATATTACAAATGATTTATAAAGCATACTATATGTATTGAGTAAATTTAGAAAAAAATTAAGACAATATTTCACATGGAATAAAATATTTATATTTATATATTGTCTAAATTTAGTATTTTTAATTGAAAATATTGTTAAAAACATATTTGATTTTTTTTATATATTAAAGGTAATATTTGAAATATTCGTAATACATTTGATATATCTCTTTGTGATACACAAATGATCATTATCACTTGTAGTATGAATTAGATGACAAATCTTGTGTATGACAATAATAATTATGAAGAGAAACGATATTAAGTTGTCATGACGGTTGGCTGATTATTCAGTATCGTAAATTGCATCTGTCAGGTATATTAGAGATTACATCATCAGATATTAAGTTGTCCGCTGATTGCATTGACGCTAAGTTGACGATACTAGATAGGTCGTAATTCTTATACGCGTAAAAGTGACGTTAGTGATGCTGGCCGAGAGACAACAATGCCATCTAAAAATTGAGTTTCCCATGTTCTTAAATATATGTCCATTACAAACATAACTAAGAAAAGATCTGGGAATTCCATTCAAAAATAAGTTATCTCGTTATTTTGCAAGAGTATTATCTGTATTATCTTGATACTATACAGATGTTTAAAAAATATTAATCCAGGATTCTAATCTAACAAATTTATCACATAATCCTATTAATCAATCTAACAATTTCATAACAAATTTATGCAACACGTGATAAAAGAATTTAAGAAAAAAATATAAATAAAGGAGAATTGTAAAAATATTGTAAGATATAAATCTAAAAATAAATCTGTCCTGCACTCAGTTATGTTTTATTACAGCGGCTACTGGCTGTCATATATTTTTCTGGACATTTACGATCTTTTTTCGTTACACCGAGCTAATTTGAAATCTGGCCTAGACAAATCTGTTCACGTTGGTGCGTACATTAATAATCGCAAAGAATAGACAGAATCAATTAATTAATTAAATCCTAACATTGTATTTAATTTAAAATATAACCTTATTATATTTCACAAAAACATATTACACAAAAATATTTTCTTTCAGATTTGTTTTTTTTTCAAATTTGAGTATTATTATTTATTTAAATTTGATAAATCAAATTTATTTAACTGACTTTGTATTAATTTTATTTATTTTTTAATTTTAATTAAAAAAATTTTACTTTGTTAATTGTTAAATGTAAACACAAGAGAGATAATGCAAATAGATGCAAATGTCAAGCGTTGAAGTGTTCAAAATTTGTTTTCTCAAAGCCAGTTTTCTTTTATAAAGCCTTTTTCATGTTTTGATAAATATTTTATAATATAGCAAAAACCCTAATAAAAGAATAAATATAGAGATCTTTTGTGAATACATATGTCCACATAAATTTGTCCTTTTTACATGATATTATATGATGTTTGAGAATACCGATAAAAATCATAAAAATCCTAGTATATTAATTTAGAGTCTTGTTATTGTCGTCCCATTCGTCGCGCGTTCCTCAAAAGTAAGTAAAACACTCAGCGCGTATCATTGGGGACGAAGGAATAAAGGCATAAATAAAATAGTCGGTCAAGTACATTTCACGAT